GAAGGATAAGTGCATTTAGTAGAAATACTTACATTAAAAAAATCTCTTAAAATCTTATGAGCCATTCCATGTATACACACACACAAAGTGGCGATAAGGCTATGATTACTGCTTGGAGTCCTAACTGAATTACCAAGTTCCTTATACAATGTACATATATTTTATGCCATGTGATTGCAGTGTGTGTGTGTGTGTGTGAGCGCGTGTGCGCATATGTATGTATATATGTATGTGTGTAAGGTGGAAATATATTCACACATATGTAGTTCTGTACATCTCCACACACAGCATGCACAGTATTGACAAGTTGCCTCTGGTTCTCTTATTTTTTACCTCTCATTCATTCTTGAATCTCTAGCAGTTTTGGGGTTGGGGCAGGGCCAAGGATCGGAAATCATCACATTTCTTTCCTTCCCCACTCTGTAGATGTGGAAGCGGGTCACAGGCCACTCACCTAGGCGAGCCTTCAAGTAACAACCATTCCCTCAACACATCCACACAGACACTCACGCACAAGCACTTAAAGACCCTCTGTTTACTATAAGGTGGAACTTGATGCTTTTATTTCCAGCGAGAAATTGATTCTGTAAGCTTTTCCCTTGCCCTCTGACTTCCTGGTTGGATGGATCTATTCTGTTGCTACTATAAGTTATTCAAATACTACTAGTGCACTGTCCAGTATTATTTTTTCCCCAGTGTTTTGAGCCAAAACTAAACTTCCTGAGACTTTAAATACCTAAGACAAATATAGTTTTTTAAAAAATCTGTCTATATACCCAGGCTCTTTTCCAGGAATGAGTCACTGAAGCACATTCATATTTCTGACAATACTGTTTTCTTTTGAGAATTTACTCCCCACCCCCGTTATCATAATAAAAAAAAAAAACAATTCTAGTGGAAAATATGGACATTTTATTTCTGGACTTCCTCCTTAAATGCTTAGCTTCAGAAGAGCGTACAGGTAGATCCTTGATCAAAGGTAAATTTGAAAAGACATTTTTTAAAAAGCCTGGGCTTTTCTTTTCCATTTCACCTTTCATTCAGAAAGCACTGAGGACTTACCATTAACCAGGTGACTTGAACCTTAGTGCCTGCTGTCCACCAGAGTGAAATGCCCCTCACCAGGGCCCTGCTAGGACAGTAAATTTAACGGCTCAGATGGAATTTGGTAATTCTTGAATATGCCAATGTAATGAGGGGCTACCACATATCCAGATTATAAACACTTGTTCCAGAATTGTTGGGACATCTCTCTTTAGAATCTTCAAACACTGGGTTTCTTCTCTTGAAGCCTGGTCTACAGAACCTTTAATATTTATAATTGAGATTGAATATCCATATAAATGCAGTATTTTATTTACTTTTTAAAAATATAATTTTAAAGCACATGTTAATCCTATTACACAAAAAAACCTAGTCGAGAATTCTTTGTCTTTAGCCAAAACCATAAGGGCTAATTGAGGGGCTATATCCAACAACCTATGATGGTAGCTCGGGCCTGGGAGAGCTTAAGATTTCGGGCTAGAGAGGACTAGAGGATGAAAGGCAGCAGCAAGGGTTAATTTGGTTCCTCTCCTGTCCTCTTGCCACTTTGTTTCCAACAACAACAAAGAAACACAAAGTAGGTGTTCCCATTCCAGGCCCCTTAAAAAGCTGAGTTTGGAATGAGCACTGTAATACTGCAATCACGAACTGTCTGTCTGTCTCGTGGGTTAAAGATGCTTCTTTGATGTTGAGGGCCAGAAATCCAGGTCAACCCCAGCTAAAGAAGGCTAGCCTAGAACGATAGCTTTATTATCATGAAATAAATGGCGGACTTCATCAGTGTATCAGAAGGAACAAAGTTCAGTTTCTGCCCTAATGTATCACTCTGAAGTACACTTCCGATTCAGGCAGAAAAAAGAAAAGAAAAGAATGAGAAAACTAGTACATAAACTGTGAGTTACTTTAAGAGAGGTGGTCTTAAATAATCTGTTATAATAACTAAAGTCCTTTAATGGAAAACTGTGCCTAGACATTCAGCCCATACAATGCTCCCTGTCTACGGCTTGGCCTCACCACGCATTCCCTAACCCCCAAAGCATTACCTATACCCCAAAACAATGTGGCTATTGTTAAAGTCATACTGAGCTGTCATTTAGGAAATATAATTCATAGTAACCAGATACTCCCTTTTTGTTCATTTGCTGATAAATAAAAAACTGCAAAGTCTTTAAGGATCATGAAGCAACAATTCTGTGTTAAACTGTATGGACGCTGAAGAGCACTAGCATTAAAGTAGGAATTGTCGAAGACACTGGAACCCCGGTCAGGCATCATGCACTAGAGTCAAGAGAAGAAATAATACGAAAACCAAATGTTCATAAGATCTGAGGTCCTGCACTTTGTTTTCACACTCTTTGATCAATCAGTTTACACTCTGTCCTTTGTCGGACAGTCAAATCGAGTGCCTTTTATGATTTCAGCAGTTTTAAGTAGTAATAATATTAAAGTAACTCGCTAAGACCTAAAATTACCATAACTTAACTTAACAAACCAAAATAGTTACAATACAAACTAAGTGATTTGAGGAATAAGAATTTGATTTATAATATTTTCAGTTGATCACTGACCTAAACATTGGAAGTGTACAAATAAAGTTCAAGAACAATACTTTTAAGACATTTAAGAAAATGCAATAAATTATGTGCAGAGACTGAGACTTACAGACATTTCCAGTATGTACATCCATTTTCAAATAACACCAAAGTATAAACATAACTTAAAATAATCCTCCTCTATTTCCACTCTTAAAATGAATACAGAGAAAAACTTCCAGTGTGATCCAGATCACCTTTTTTCCCCCAAAGATAAGCAAAAATGGCCAAAATTTACAATAGCAAGCACTAGTATTCCCAGATTTTGACTAATGTAGTCTTTTAGTATTAGACAAGATCTGCTGAATTTTGTAGTTCATGAATAGTGGTGGTTCCTTGTTTCTCATGATATTAATAAATAGCAAAGCACCACACATCTCAAATATTAATAGAGTATCCAGTATGGCAGTTTCATTATCATACTCCAAATGAAGATAGTCAGAAAAACATACATAGTGACTCTGATAATTGTAAAACACAATATTAACTTGTGTCAATGTTTCTGAGTATTGAATGATCTGTACCAGCGACAAAAGGACTGAAGTATAACAGACAATACTCTGTCACTGAAAAGGAAACAGGCCTTAGGGAAAGAACAGCATTATAAATTTCTAGTTCAGCCAATTCCAGATTTCAGATATTCAAGCAAGCAAAAAAAAAAAATCACAATATTCAAAATACAAGATGGTGCTATATGGGCAAGAGCCCTTTTACATTATCTATGACCTGTAACCTTCAAAAGCCTTCCCTCAAGCTCTGTGTACACAACATTTCTAGTGAAAGATATGGACAGAGGTCCCATTCCCCCCGCCCCCACCCCCACCATTACCCCCACCATGTAGTAAAGGAAGTAAAATACAAGTCCAAGAATTTATCTGGCCTCAACTCTTATTTTGAAACTCGTCCCTTGGAAAGTGGATGACCTTGTTTTTACAGCCAACGTAGGAAAGACAACCAGAAACACAAGCATAAAAAGCAAAACAACAAACAACAACCAATCATTTGAAATCTCTCCAGATAAATTTATTTTTGCCTCCTTCTGCCCTAATCTCCTACACTTGAATTAATTTGATGAAATACTGAAATCCTTAATACTGGGTTTAAAATAAGTATTAACTGTCTCCACTGGTAGACTGTATCCTGTGTACTCTCTTAAACAAACTTGAACCGTAAAGTGGAAATCTCTAAAGAGTGAAAGAGAATGGCTCAGAAAAAACATTCGAAACATCTCTAAAATGTAACTGTCAGCTCTCCTTTACGGGAACATTCCGTGTGTTCAATAAAATAGCTTCTCTGGTTGAACGTTACTCAAATCTAAATTTTCTCTAACTGGTATTTCTATTTTTCTTAAAAGTACATTTGTTAAAACACTAACTGAGCCCACTTGGGAAATCTTAAGTAGAAAATATGTGACAAGTTCCTGATTGTGTCACAGTCAGGCCGAAGACTAGCCAGAATGTTCCCCAGGAGAGGAAACCTGAAAACGTTGGTTTCCTTAAAAATCAATTTCCTGTTCAATTTGTTGGGGGGAAAAGGAACTACGTTATGTGTGTCAGTGTTGCTGAAGTACTGAACATGCAGCAGTAGCAAAGTAAACAATGGATCCCAATATCCCATGGCTGTGCTAATGTCTGATTTTTTTCTTTGTTCGGCTAAATCTGGAGGATAAATGTTACTCTCAGAACCCCAAGGTAATACCCACATCCACATTCTTAAGGCTTTTTGCTTCCTTCTGGGGTTAACAAATAACTATAATTCTTTTCTCTCTTTCTGATGCCCCGCAAACAGAAGAGTTTGCTTGCCTTTGGCCACAGTACGTAATCATGTTACAGAGCACCCATGTTTCTACAGTGGGGTTGTCTCACTGTCCAGACACAAAAATGAGGGGGAAACTTTCCCACATGCTGGGGTAGATTCTGGAGCCCAGATCTCATGGCAGAGTGGTGCTCTCGGCCATGCAGATATGTGCTATTGACCAGTTTCAGGATTCCCAGACTGAAAAGTCACGGCCCTCCATTAACAATACCTGGGGTGTTTCACGCTTTTGTTGGGCAGGGTGACATCCATTTTCCAAGCAACGCAACCCACCCAACACAACACAAGAGCATAGTAAGAGAGAGAGAAACACAGCTATTTTGCATCTTTCACAAATGAGATCCTTGGTTTGGCAAGAAACCAAAGGAGGCTTGGGATTATTTCAGTAGGCAAAAATTAAAATAGTATTCGATTATTGCAGAAAATGCAGTTATGCAACACGTGGTTCCCCCATCTGCCTAGCGCACATCACCCCTGCCATCAGTTCCTTAATCCTCCGGAGGAGAGTGGGGCAGGAAGAGGGGAGACTTGTCTGAGAGAGGGTGTGTGTTACTGCTCACCAGCGCCCTCTGTGGCAGCTGTCATCTTTTCGTTCTTTTTAGACTTCCTCTGCATTTGTTCTTGTTCCTTCCTCCTCAGCTTTTCTCTTTGTTTTTCCATTTTCTCTTGGGCCTTCCGAGCCTTCTCTAGAGATACCTTCATTTCCTTCAGTTTTTTTTTTACCACTGCTCGGTCCTGGGATGACGTCATTCCCAGAGCCTAGGAAGGAAATACATAAACAAATTGAATTTGAAAACCAGTGACCTCTCTGCTCAGGAAGAGGTTGATATCACAATATGTTCAAACTCAAGAACTAATTTAAACATAATCAAAGAGGTAAGAAACTAGGAAAAGCTGATGACATTTGCCAAAAATCTCCATACTTGGGGGCTGAGCTTTATTTGTTCTTTGAAGTTCCTAGCCCAGTAGGCCCTAAACCCCATTAAGTAAGTGCTTTCCAAACTGGTAATTAATGGGTGAATGAATTTTTAAAAGGGGGCACAGTTCTGCTTCCCCAACCTTTGGGCTGTAGACATTTACAAGCAAACATATTGCTAAACTCATCAATATTTTTAAAAGATAGGAGTGGGCACCTGCTGCCATAGAAGCCTCCAAGAAGGGCAGGGAGAATGAAATGGCTTCCTTTCTGCCAATGTAATCATTTACAATGAGGACCAAAAATGTCTTTGAGGCTGGAATGCTCATGTCAGCATGACTAGCCATTTTCTCCCTGTAGGCAGACCTATAAAGGAATCCTGTTAATGAGGAGGCTGCTCGATGAGCTTGGAATTCAGAATAAGGGGAGTTGGTTGCGTACTTTAAATGTTTCATGACCTTCAGAATCAACAGCAGGATGCATCCATCTCCCCAACAGGGACAGCCTTCAATGGGGCCTTCATATTCACAGACTATTGATTGATCTCTAACCTTTTCAAGACTGTCAAGAGATACTCATCTGCCCTTCAGCCCAGCAGGGGGCTGAGGTTGGGGGTGGGGAGCCGAATGTAAGTTCTTTTTGCCCTTTTCCACAGGGGTAGGTACCCCCTCAGTCTCTAAAAGGGATGAACTGGACAGGTGAAATGAGAGTGGGATGGAGCGGGGGGAGACACGGCCTGCGCGTACTTGGGGAAGAAAGTTCTGTGGAGAATATCATCCCCGTTTTGGAGAGGTGTGCAGGGAAGAGTGGGGGCGGGGAAGAAATGAATAAAGACGGAAAGATTCATGGATTTAGGTTTTAACTCTAATGTGATGAAAGAGAGTCCACATTGGCCATTATTACAACTCATACTACACAGGAAGTCAGTAGAGTTCGTACATGGACCATGTGTTGCTAGGGGAAGCAATGGAGTGAGTCCCTAGCTCTCCTACTTGGCAGCCTACTGTTTGGCTTAGAATCCTTGACGACTTTCCAAAACTTCATTTACTACTCAGAAATAATGCAACGTCCTTTCTGCTGACCGTTGATGAGAATTACCTCTCAGATATGCAGATGTTCTTATCTAATGAAAACATTTTAGGTGCTATGTGCAATACAAATCATACCTGGTAACCTAACACAGACATATAATTCTTTACCTTAAGTTTATTTCCATCCAACTGCAGGAGTTGCTCTCCAGTGATGTTTTGGGCACTGAATTCAGATACATACTGCTCCAGATTTAGGCTCATTAGCCAGTGAGAAACCTGCTGCACGCTCCATTCATGAACGGCCCGATTCTGACACTGACTGTGTTTGGGAGACTGTCCATCATCAAGGATCTGAGGTAGGAATGTTACGCAGCGTTGTTAAAGGACCAAGATGCTAGGGCTCGGCACGGCTTATTACGCTATCAAAAGGAATCTCTTGCCTACTAGAGCCACATTTATTTTTAAACCGTAAAATGATTAAGCTATGGTTCTAGTTGTGTGTGTGACACACACACACACACACACGTAATTATCACCTACATTGTTTAGGTATTTGGAAATTTAAAAATTCCCCCAGATAAAGCGGCATTATTAATGTCGGATGTTTTATATTGAAAAATACACTCCAATGTTGCAAGTCTTATGCTAGAACACTTTGGAAAGATTATGAGATGCAGAAAACGAGTATTTCATTCATCTCTATATGCAATGCATCACTCTGCATGTAGCCTCGGATGAGACGTTGGAGATATATAAAAATACATTTAAAAATATTGAGGTATCTTTCCCTTAGAAGGGGACGGCATTACGTCCTCAAGCGTTGTTAGGGGAAATTTCACAGCCATGATTTCATGTGAGCAGCAAGCGAACCTGTGAGGAAGGCAGGGCAGGTAATGTCCATAATGACTTTTAATAAATGAGGGAAGTGAGGCTCGGCAAGTGTACAGATCTGTCCGAGACCACGCAGCTAGCAACGGGTAGAGCTCAACAGGTAGTGGTTTATTCCAAATCTTAGGCTCTGCCCAGAGCAGAACATCGCTTTTAATAGTGCAGAGGGCAGCTTGGTCCCTAGCACCTCTAAGCTGAGAGGCGATGAAGATGAAGACAGGTCTGGGAGGAAAGACAAGGGTCACCTTGGGGAACACTGACAAGGGGATGGGGTAAGCCGAGATGAAGGCAAAGGAGGTGGAACAGAATGGACCGTGTCAGGGTAATGGCGATGGGGATCAGTCGAGGGACTCTGGAGGTAGAATGTGGTGATCCTCTTGACTCAGAAATATCTTTTAAACTTAGATAGAGACAAGGGCAGAGAGTGAAACTATTTAGGACAAGGAAATCCTCCACCACAGACACCAGTATTCTTGCATCGTTTGAGTTTTAAATCATTTTGCAGAGAGAGAAGAGAAGGTTCGAACAATACCACATAAGCCACCACACGCAGCCCACTGATAGCTCACCTCGTCATCTATCATATCCAGGCTCTGAGTGAGGGAGCAACAAAGGAATCAAAAAGAAAAGTGTTATAGAAATAGGAAACACAACATACACAGTACAAAGTTTTAAAATTAAAATCACGCCAAGCTTGAAGAGTATGGGCAGAAACATTTAAGAGAAAAAAGTTTCATAAAACAAAAATCATGTTAGAAAGAAATAACTTAGAACAAATACTCGCAGCAACAATGTCTTTATCTACAGTGCTTCTCTCCCTCCCACCCCCTGCCCTAAATACTGGTATTTATTCCTCTCCTTACCTCTTGGGGCACTAAGTCAATCACTAATGTAATATCCTGCTTCTCTGTACACATTTATCTTCTGGGAATTCTTGGCAATGTTAATTTGACCCTGGCTTCTAAATAAGTGATTCTCACCCAGTTTTCCTTCCTTTTGGGAACTGTATACCTCTCTCTGTCTCCACTGCAGAGGTTCTCAATGAGGGGCCATGCCCTACTCAGAGGGAATATCAGAGTCCTGGGGCAGAGGTGATGATGGGGGGGAGGCGAGTGAGAAAGGGGATGGATAGTCTGTCAACTCCCCTGATTCCTGAGCTGTTCCCTATGTGTGCTCTCTAGTGCCCAGGCTCCCATCCCCACCCCTCTGGTTAGCATCATCTCAATTACATCAGAGAAAGGCGGAGGAGGTCCCTGGAGGGCTTAAAGGGCTCGGAAACAGTCCTTTGTCTTCACGTTGAGATAGAGAGGCAGAGAAATCATGATTTCCTATCAAGCATGAAACCATGATCCCAATGATTTATAACAAAATCTACTTAAGAACGTCTTCCTGGTGGTAGGTGATGGGAACAGTGGAGGATCTGAGCGCCATGAGCATACCTCATCTGATGACAGCACTAAGGACTGGGAGAGCCCTGTAGTTTTGGGTTCTGCTCCTAGGCCGCTCAGGTCTGCCGAACTGGTACTGCTGGGACTGAAGTCATCATTGAAGGTAAAATTCTGTAAAAGTAGATGAAGCTCAGTGTTAAATGAGCACAGCGAGGGAACCAGAGGTAGGTGTATTTGCAAGTTCTAAAAGCCTCTCTTTAAGTAATCTTAGGAGAAAATCATATTTGGTTTGGTGATGACCTTCAAGTGGCAGTGGTTGAGAGCACTGTGCCTTTTGCAATTGATAGGGAATTCTGGGTGCTTTCTCCATCAGATAGGAGGATAGGTGTTTTGGAGAAATGATTCTTTAATCTCTCTTCAAGGATACGGCATTCATTATCCTCTGCAACTGCTCAGAGGAGTAATATTAATAAGCCTATCTTCTTTGACCCTAATTGTGATGAGTAACAGTGCAAGTAAAAATACAAGATGGTGTGGAGAGCCTGAGTTATTAGGAACAGATGGCCATCCATATTAGAAAGGTAGCTTGAGCACCCCCTGGGAAGGATCGCTTGCTGTTGGCCGTGATAAATACTGTGAGAAATGGCAGATCCTCCCCTGGATATAACCTTCAAGACGATGAGTTCTGGGGGAGGTCACAGTCTCAGTGTAAATACACGAGTAGTTACATGCTCAAACACAACTCTCACACAGCATCGACAGAGCACCAAAGAGGCTACAGAACAGGTACACTTTCCAAATAATCACCTGGGGGGGGGGGGTTGCTGGGCAAGGGGTGGGGGGAGGGGTGTGAACAAAAGTTCCTCAGATCTTCATTAAAACGTTCAGTGGATATTAAAGTCAAATACGTTCACAATGACCACATAGCTGCATTCGTGAAAATGTCTTACACCAAATCTGGAGTCTCTCCGTGGCAAGATAATAGTAGAGTTATTCCAACTACATTTAGATTTCTCAGATCCAGTACTAAAAATGTTACAAGATCAGAGTGATCTAGTGCTGCCCAGACTTTCTTGCTACTAATTCTAGAATGACTGGCTTCCTAGGAACTCGAAGCCCTTGGCCAACACCATCTTGTTTCATATTCCACTTCCATAGGGATTGGACTGTTAGGTTTCCATTAGGTTCCCTTGCCAGTGGGTTCAGTCGGTTGTCAAAAATGAATACCATGCCAGAGGCTGGAGAAATCAGTTCCAAACAAACCCCAAGGTCTGCTAAAACTTCAGACATGGAAACGAAATCCAAGAACGTGGAGAGCTAGGCTAGTAGAACACTTAAGCAGGAGAGCATTTAACACAACACATTACTATTTGATATTGTCAACAGAGACACAGCCCCAAACCCTGTCAAAACCCTGTGAGCTGTTGACCTCAAGAAAAGAGTTAAATTCAAGTTACATTAATCACACATTTCTGTTTGAGAAAGAAAAGCAAACACAGATAAAAGGAGACCAAACAACATGTGAAAGTTAGCCACCGTATGTGCTTCAATAAAATGTTAGGTAAGGTTTGCAGCGTCATGCTGGAAATAACCATTGTGCATTTGAAAACAAACAACATCCATGCCTTGTATTTTCTAATTCTGCTAAAGTTAAGAACTTTGGTGATGAGATTATAAGTTTTTCAACATGGAAGTTTGATTTAAAAGAAGATATAAGCAAGGGGGCTATGGCAGCATTGGTTTGTTTTAAAGAGTTTCATTTAGATATATTGAACACGTATTCAGTCCCAAATTTATTTGTTTTTCAGTAAATCTCGAAGAACGCGGTAAAAATAGTCTTGTAATGTAATTTAAAGTGGCATACTTCGTAAACAGATCTATCATACTGGTCCATGACTCAAATGCATCTTTCCCAGCATGGCTTAACTGTCAAACTGAGATTAAACAGCAGTATGTGAAAAGACAGGCAAATCAAAGATTAACGTACAATCTAGAATGGAACAGAATTAAAGAAGGTGATGGTTAACGGAGGCTTTCTTTCTCCCCACACAGGAAATACCATGCATGGTTTATTGCAGTGTTATCACATTGGTTTCTCAGGTCCAGAGTAAACACACAAGTTGAGAATGCTTTCCAAAGACTGAAGAGGAGGAAGGATTTGGGGTTTTCTTGTTTGCTTTTTAAATCCATGTGTTGTCTACCTTGGACCCCTTTTTATCTGAAATTAGAGTTTCAGGAGAAGGCTGAAGGGGACTTGTAGGTGAAGGCAGGTTTCTGAAGGAATAGGATCCTTTTCGGCTTTCGTTAAACCACGAGAAAGGCATGCATGGTGAGCGGGTGGTGACCTGTGCTGTGGGGGATGGCTTCGGTTTCCAGTGTTCCAGCCTGCCTCTGAAGATCCTGTATTATGAGACAAATGGGCACGTTAGACAAAGAAAGGGCAGATGTGACACTTGTTTAACTGAATTCTGAAGGGACTCTGAATCAAGTTCGAAGTAAGAGTTTGAGATATTGTTCTACACAACAGAGGAAAAAAATTGCATTTTTTACTAGGGCATTAAGCTTAGTAGCTACCTTGTTTGAACTGAAATGGATTTTACAACAATGGTCAACATTTCCCCACCCCCCACCA